AGCACTCTCACACCCATCACACACAGCACTCTCACACCCATCACACACAGCACTCTCACACACACAGAACTCTCTCACACACATCACTCTCTCACACACAGCACTCTCTCACACACAGCACTCTCACACCCATCACACACACAGCAATCTCTCACACACATCACTGTCTCACACACAGCACTCTCTCACACACAGCACTCTCACACCCATCACACACAGCACTCTCTCACACACAGCACTCTCTCACACCCATCACACACAGCACTCTCACACAGCACTCTCTCACACACAGCACTCTCTCACACACAGCACTCTCACACCCATCACACACAGCACTCTCACACCCATCACACACAGCACTCTCTCACACACAGCACTCACACCCATCACTCACACCCATCACTCACACAGGGCACTCTCACACACACGGCACTCTCACACACACGGCACTCTCACACACATACTGCACCCCACATACACACACACAGGGCACCTCACACACACGGCACCTCACACACACGGGGCACTCCACACATACTGCACCCCTGATGATTAGGCACCTGTGACCACTTCAGCTTAATGAAGTGGTCTTGGTGCCAGGTCCTTCTAGGGTTAACCTATTGTTTTATAAACATAGCAGTTTCAGAGAAACTGCTATGTTTATCAATGGGTTAAGCCTTCCCCCAAAGCCTCTAGCAGCTGTCTCATTGACAGCCGCTAGAGGTGCTTGCGTGCTTTTCACTGTGAAAATCACAGTGAGAGCACGCAAGCGTCCATAGGAAAGCATTATAAATGCGTTCCTATGCGACCGGCTGAATGCGCGCGCAGCTCTTGCCGCCCGTGCGCATTCAGCCGACGGGGCGGATCGGAGGAGGAGAGCTCCCTGCCCGGCGCTGGAAAAAGGTAAGTTTTAACCCCTTTTCCCTTTCCAGAGCTGGGCGGGAGGGGGTACCTGAAGGTGGGGGCACCCTCAGGGCACTATAGTGCCAGGAAAACGAGTATGTTTTCCTGGCACTATAGAGGTCCTTTAACATACACACTCTGGATCCCCTATACACACACTAGATTCCTTGTAAGCAAACACATACTACACCCCTAAACACACACACACTATAGCCTGTATGCACACACTTGCTATATCCCCAATACACACATTCTCTACAGCCCATAGCCACATATGCATTACATTACACCACAAACACAACACGACTAAAACCGACCTTATTACACAATACCACACCACGACCAGCTCACTCTACACACACGGAATACCACAAGCAGGCTCCAAACACATGCACAATACTCTTTCCTGGCCCTTTTGTCTCCTGGTATCCATTTATAGAGACACCAGAGACAAGTTGCAAGGAAACACAATGCAAGCATGTTATTAAATTTACTTGCACTGTGCAGAACAAATACAGGACTTTTTTCTCATGCTAGAGCTTTTCAGCAGAGCTGGAAGAGCATTAAACCAACATGCTCACTTTGAGAGGAGGCGTGTTTGTCATTGGTGATGACAAAACACACCTCCTCTGCCCCGCCCCCTTTTTAGTGGGCCGCTGTGTTAAAAAAATGCCCGGGCCGAATTTTTCTCCCAGTCCGGCCCTGACTGAAAGCTTAGGTGACTTTGAAAATGTTTCAGTTTTAGCTGTTTTCACCTTAAATTTGAAAATCCCTTTAAATTCTCACTTTAGAAAATAACACTGACAGTGTTACCTGCCTTTCTCTTCCATAATTAATTGTGAATGCTGCTTATAGAATTCTTAAAATTGATGTTCCTTAGCAAGCCTTAGTGAAGCAACAGAGCTTATGAAAAGTCATAAAGGGGGTTACATACTCAATTATAACAATTTAATATTTAAAAATATTTTGAATCTCTATAATATTAACACCTTTTTTTGTAGAATGTATATCAACAAAGTAAATAGAAGGTGGCATACACAGACAACTCATCTCAATCAGTACTCCTCATTAGAGTGCATGACTTTAGCTTTTACTGGGAAAATTTATGGTACACGACTACAGCCCTTCTAAGGAATAAGACAATCTCTCTCCCAAGGATAAGAAACTTGAAGCCTGCAAATGAAGCACAAAGCAGACAAAATGATGATTCTACTCTATAAGGAGAATCTTCTATAAAAAGTACCAGAGCAGAACCAAAGCCCATTTCCCGTCGTACTGAATTCATTTTACCTGTTCTCTAAGGTATTTCATTCCCACCTACTAAAGCACTGAAATATGGGATGTGTGAAACAGAAGATCTGTGGAATAAAATACATGGTTCATTAAACAAAAAGCAAGGAATTAAAGTGTATAGCAACCAAAGAAGGTTTTATTGTTGTATGCAAAAAAAAAGAGAACACTGTAGGACAATATTCAACTGACTCCAGGGTGCTTACATTCAATTAGTGGTGACAGAATACTCTGTGGTGGAGCATGTGTCACTGAGGGCTCAAGTACCCCAGGGCTCCTTGTATACTCTAATTAGGTTAAGAAACATATGAGGCACAAGGGATTGCTTTCTAAATTAAACTTGAACTTTGATTTGCAACATGTTTGTTTATGAAATAAAATTGGGAGAAATATATTACGGTTTAAATTCCATTTCTGTTGGGTAGTCGGGAAGGAAAGCTTTCCCTCTCCGTGCCATCGGTGATATTTAATCATTATTCTGATGTTCAATGTTTAATGTGATTTGTTAACCCTATCTACTTTTTATCTTTTCTGCTATGTACTAACAGACTGTGAATATTTCTATAGAAAAAAAAGGAATAGCTTAGAACTGTAGTTGTCGAGGTAGGGCTGTAGTTGGTGAGGTAGAGATGGAGCATCCCAGTGTTATACAGAAATGGGTTGCTCTTTCTCTAAAGCTTCTTATACAATCCACCTGTCACTCTTACAGTTTATGTATCTGCATTGTATTCGTTTCTCAACCCCGCATATTTTTTCCAACACCATATCTTTGATGATGGATTCCAGTCAGTTTAGTCAACTTTAGTCATTGCCACCACATACCCTTTGAGTCCACAAACTTGGCTGTTGTTGCATGAGAGCATAAGCATCATTACCCATACCCAACTTAGACTTTGGATGGACTGTCACCCTGCCCCCCACCCCCACCCCCCTTTCCTTGCAATTAGTGTGTCTAGGGTTTAGTTTTTGTACATACTTTTTTGGTTTATGTTTATTTTCCTTTAAACTCCTTAACCTACTTTATTTCCCTTGCCACCATGCTTGACTGTGATAGAAAGCATCAAATGCCCAGCAATCGTTAATTCACTCCACATATGGGATAAAATAAAAACTAAATACGATCTGGCAGGTAATCTCTCTCCCTTAAATCCAGTCTGATGAAATAGGCAGTTTGCCCAAGGCATGAGTATGCATGATTTAAAAAAAAAAACTTAGAAATAGCAGAGTGTAATAAATTCGTCTTTTTCTGTGTTTTTTCCAAGTCGATTTAAATAAGTCTTTTATGTATATATCTTCTTGGGTAAAATGCTCGCCAGGTTGATATACGTCTATAATAACCAAAAACACTAATACGCAATCTGACTTACAGTTTCTTCAGGTTTATTCTTACAGTTACTGATACATAATAAAACAACAAAGGATGTTACAGGATAATGGATGTTCAACAGCAGATGGTAATTGCTGGACTCCTGAAGGGAGAGTTAGACTCTACATAGTTAGAGGACAGCCAGACAAGAAGAACAACCTTGTGGTCCTTTGTTCATTATCCTATATAGATATGACCATGATGACTTCAGAATATAACCCAAGCCATATAATGACAAGACCCCCAATCCACATTCCAGACTTCTCCGACAAATAAAGCCTTGTGACAGTGATACCATCTGTTACTTATGTCAATCCAGACATCCATACATATTCAAAAGAAACATAGAATATGAAATATTTTAAACTGAATTTTGTCTAAAGAGCAAATGTTCAAAATATTGTTCCACTGGCATGGCCCCCCGGTCCAGTTGTGTAAGTTTGGAAAAACCCTATGAATCTCTGTTGGATCTCTGTTGGTGCCTGTGTGGACACAGAGGCCAGTTCCTCCATATGCGGTGAGACTGTCCAAAGATACATGGGTTCTGAGAGGGCATCAGAGGTTTAGTATTAAAAGTATTTCAGAAATCATTTGATTTTCAATCCCTGGCCATTTCTACTTTTTCATCCTACCGAGCTTTTCTATACAGAAAAAAACTATTTAATATGATAACTTTGACAGCTAGATGGCTGAATGTTGATGCCTTTGCAGGATGTCACAATGAAAATTGAGGAAAGCCTTTAGATAGATGAGTTAAGCTCTAAAGTCAGACATTCTTCCACCTCCTTCCATAAGGTGTGGGATCCATGGAAAGAATATATGACAAATAAGAGTTAAACAGTAATTGGGATAAAGTGCAAGAGTCACGCATTGCTACAATCCACCTTTTCTTTTCCCTACTCATTTGCTCCTTTCTTTTTTCCTTATCTATTGAATAGTCTTTAAACCTTCCAAAACTTAGAGGAATGAATAAAGCATTACTTGGAAAATCCACCGAGAATTACATTTATTGTCATTTATTGTAGAATATTACCAAAAGACAATCATTCAAACCATAGCATTGTGTAAACACAAAGCAGCAGTACAAGTGCAGCCTTATAGACATTGTTGGGTTTCCATTATGTTTCTCTCATGAACAGTAACACTTGAGAATTCAAGAAATATTAGAGCTTAAAGTGAACCTGACATGTCCAGAAAGTGGCTATAACAGACCCTACTGTTAAATAATATCATAAAATCCAGAGAAATACATTATGAATTTTCCTCTAAATATTAAAGGACAATAATCAACCATGATGGGTGGAGGGGCACTGAGGGGGCACCTTCACATCTAAGACCAGTTGTCATTAATGGTACATTTTCAAGCTGGACAAAAGTGGGAAGGGGTGTCCCTCATGGTTCTGTTTTGGGACCGCTTCTATTTAACATATTTATAAATGATCTTGAAATAGGCATTGAAAGCCATGTATCAGTGTTTGCAGATGACACAAACCTTTATAAAGTAATAAAATGTGAGGAGGATATTGCTTTGCTGCAGAAGGATTTGGATAGATTGGGGGACTGGGCACTAAAATGGCAGATTAAATTTAACGTAGAGAAATGCAAAGTTATGCACTTCGGGGTTAAGAATGCACAAGCAACTTACACCCTAAATGGTAGGGAATTAGGGGTAACCACACACAAGACGGATTTGGAAATTGTTATAGACAACAAATTAGGCAGCAATATGCAATGTCAATCTGCAGTTGCTAAGGCCGGTAAGGTTTTGTCATGTATAAAAATAGGGGCATAAATTATTGGGATGAAAATATTAAAATTGTCTCTTTATCAATCGCTGGTAAGACCACACCTTGAATATGCTGTGCAATTTTGGGCACCTGTTCTAAAGAAGGATATCATGGCACTAGAAAAAGTGCAGAGACGAGCTACAAATTTGATAAAAGGAATGGAGCATTTTAGTTATGAAGAAAGGTTAAAAAATGTAAATCTCTTTAGCTTGGAAAAACAGCACCTCAGAGGGGATGTGATAACATTATACAAATATATTCTGAGCCAGTACAAACCATTATCTGGAAATCTATTTATAAACAAGCCTGAAAACCTACCAATGACTGTCAGTATCCCCGTCATCTTTTCGGATACAGGAAGGTCTACTTCAAAATCCATTGCCAGACATGGCCAAGGTTTTCTGGGTATAGGCAAGGGCTGTAACAAATCACAGGGTTGTTTGTGTAATGACTTGTTAGCCGCACAAACAATACAGGCTTTAACGTAATCCTGAATGTCTTTTCTATAAGAAAGCCACCAGAATTGTTTGGACAGAAGAGCTTCGGTTTTGTGTATACCTGAATGACCCACTATCATAGACTCATGCATGAGAGAGAGAACGGATACTCTATGTTCTGTAGGGATGTACAACTTATTGGGTGGTGTATCCTCTGGAGCTTGGTCCTTTTGGTTTTCTAATAACTCTATCAGTGCTGATTTAATCTGTACTTTAGTAGTGGCCACTAAGCATTAATTAAGGACAATCAACTGTAATTGGGCTTCGGGACTAACCTGGTCTTCGAATTGGCATGATAAAGTGTCAGCATTCGTATTTTTGGAACCAGGTCTGTACATCACAATGTAGTTAAAACGAGACAAGAACAGAGACCAATGTGCTTGTCTATCTGATAGCCTCTTTGCTTCTCCAAAATAGGACAAGTTATTATGGTCTGTGAGGATTGTTACAGGAATGGAGTATCCCTCTAACACATGTCTCCACTCCTTCAGGACCATAATTATAGCCAACAACTCCCTGTCCCCAGTGTCATATCATTTTTCGGTGTCAGTTAATTTCTTCGAAAAATAACCACAAGGATGAAGAGGTAAATCAAATGCTGATCTTTGGGAGAGAACTGCCCCTACACCGGTCTCAAACGCATCTACTTCCAACAAAAAAGGCAAAGTAGGGTCAGGATGTGCCAAATTAGAAGCCGAAGTAAAAAGCCCTTTTTAGAGTTTCAAATGCAGCAAGAGTTTAAGGAGCCCATTCTTGTTGGGTTCCTCCTTTTTTAGTCATGGAGGTTATGGGGGCTGTTATGAATGAGAACCCTTTAACGAACCTCCTATAATAATTGGCAAAATCCAAGAAGCATTAAATCCTATCGGCAACGGGTAATCTAAGATAGCCTCAAGTTTCTTTGGATCCATTCTAAAACCTGTACCAGATCTATATCCCAAGAACTGTACTTCTTTTATGTCAAAAAGGCACTTCTCCAGCTTACAATGTAATCCATTTTCGAACAATCTTGAAAGAACAAGTGTCACATGGTTATGATGACTTTCAAGGTCGTTAGAATAGATGAGTATATCATCCAGATACACTATAACAAATTAATGTAAATAATCCCTTAAAATATAATTTATAAAGTCCTGAAAAACAGCTGGGGCATAACGGTGTACTCGTAATGCCCATATCGTGTATTAAACGCTGTTTTCCATTCATCCCCCTTTTTTGATTCGGACCAGATTGTAAGCCCCTCGCAGATCAAGTTTAGTTCAAGTTTTGGATGCCGCTTTTAACCTATTGAATAATTCTGATATCAATGGAATTGGGTATGCATTACGTATAGTTATCTTGTTAAATCTGCAGAAGTCAATACAGGGCCTAAGATCCTCCTCTTTTTTAGAAACAAAAAAGAACCCTGCCCCAGCAGGAGAGGAGGATATGGTTATAAACCCCTTCCTAAGATTCTCCTTAATGTACTATTCTAGTATTATGTTTTCCTTAAGAGACAAGGGATAAACAGTACCCTTGGGTGGCATAGTACCAGGGAGTAAAGTAATCGCACAATTAAGGGTGATGTGGTGGTAGCTTATCGGCTTCTTTCTTTTCAAACATGTCTTTCAATTCTTTATACGGTTCAGGCACCTCAGTGGATAAAGGCTCCATAGTGGGAACGTTTATGAGGCACACTGGTTTGACTTTCGAAACACAACCCTCCATATAAAATGACTCCAACTCTTGATCTTCTTAGTCTCCCAATGTATTATAGGGTTATGTTTAGCGAGCCAAGGAAATCCGTACAACTCATACAACTATGTAACTATCGGAAAGGATGGGGATGTAATCTGTTGTAAGATTATCATTTCTCGGTGTAGGAATCCTATGATCATCAAAAAAGGTATAGTTTTCTTTGTTGTCTACCATCTATGGCCTCTACGGCCAAGGGTGTGGATCTTTCTCTTAAAGGGAAAAATATAAGACTTAGCAAAGGCGGCAACAAAGTTTTCTGCAGCTCCAGAATCGATAAGGGCATGCATATGGACAGTCCCGTTCTCCCACTTTAAGGTTTAGGGAGTAGAAGCCTGAGTTATTTCTGGCTTTAAAAGAGGACATATGCAATATACCCAAGGCCTGTCTTCCAAGAGGGCTTAGGTACGGAAGGTTTCCGGCCTATTGGGGCATGATAAAAGGAAATGCCCTTTCTTCACACAGTACCGACAAAGACCCTCTTTTCTCCTATAGGACTTCTCAGCTCCAGATAACCTAGTGAGTCCTAACTGCATGGGTTCAGGGATGGCCACAGTGGTTGTTTCTGAAGTTGGGAACGTTAAGGCCAAGCGTACTGGGTTTGTTCTTGGTCGATTTCTAGTGTTATGTCTATGCCTGAGAGGCTCGTCTATATGGGACAAATAGGTTATGAGTTTTTCTAAATCCTCTGGCAAGTCCCTAGCTGCCACCTCATCCAACAAGGTATTTGAGAGACCATTCACAAATACATCTACGAATGCCTGAAGTGCCCATCACACTTCTGCAGCATATGTGCAAAATTTAAAAGCGTATTCCACAAGAGAGCGAGATCCTTGTTTCATCTTAAGAAGAGTTTTGGCTGCATTCGCTCGTCTTCCTGGGATCAAAGGTTCATCTGAATGCAGCCACAAACTCAGCAAAGTTGTATAGCAAGAGGTTGTTATTTTCCCTTAAAGGGTTTGCCCATATCAATGCCCTATCTACAAGAAGGTTGATCATAAAACCCACTCTAGACCTGTTGGTGAGATAGGCTCTGGGTTGTAATTCGAAGTGTATGCTGACTTGGTTTAAAAACCCTCGGCATGCACTAGGATCACCTCTATAATGTAAAGGGGACATCATATGAGTGGACATAGGCTAGGGGAAGCAACCTCTAGGTTAAGGGAAGCAACTACAGGTATAGGATTTTGCGCCTCGATTTGCAGATGTGCCATAAGAGCCAGTAAAGTCTGCAGAGCAAGGGCAAACTGGTCCATACAGTGGTCCATTCCCTCGAACCGCACGTCATGACCAGAAGCTTGACACCTGCAGGATCCATGGCCCTATTGTAATATCACGGTCATGTGATAACCCAACACGCAGTAAAACTCACAGAAAACCCAAGGACATATTACCGAACCTTAGAATGGTCGGATTTAACGTAGATGAAAAAGAGTAGTCAGAGGATAGCCAAAAATAAGAATACCAGCGATCAGGAGAACGATACAAGAATAGCCGGGTCAAGATACCAGAAATCAGTAGGTCAAAATACAAGCCGAGTCAGGGAACCAGAAAACAGGAACGACAAAAGCCAAGCCGGGTCAGTACACAAAAACAACAGTAAATATGCAAGGAGAATCAAAGAGCACTAAGGGGAACACAAGGAGCCACAATAGGGCAAGGAACAAAATAAGAGAGCGTCTTTTGCTTTAAGGCCCCACCCACCGAAATGTTCTAGGATGGTATTGATGATGCGGGACCGCGTCAATGATGTCATGACATCAGTGCGCACGCGCCACGTCATAAAAATGGGATTGACCCCAGCGGCCGGCGTGGGACATGCTGCACTCGTTGGAAGAGGAGTCTGCCTTGGATCCTCGTGGGCGAGATGGAATAAGGTAAGAGATCATGACACAGATGCCTTGTAATACACCAAAAGCACTGGAGCCATGATGCTGACATCATCTGTAATCACGGTGACTGAGCCGCTGTTAATATGTTCACAGGAATGGCAAATGAATCCCAAACAAGATGTTGAGTCCCCTTATCATGTTTTTGTCAGGATTATATTGATCCAGCACGCAGAATAGTATCACACCTTAGAACTAAGGGTAACTTCTTACCGGGCCTTAGAATGGCCGGACTTAACATACCAGAGAATAGTCAGAATACTAGCCGAGGTCAGGCACACAGAACGAGACACAGCGATAAGGAAAAGCCAAAAGTCAAGGGTACCTGAAATCAGGGAAGTCAAAACGAAGCCAAAGTAAAAAAACAGAAAAACACGATCAGGAACACACTCTCGGATAACCATCGACAGGGAAATGAGCTAAGGAATAAGTGAGTTTAAATAACCCTCTTGCAGATTCGATTGGCTGTACCTAGCCCTTGACCCCAAAACGTGCGTGTGTGTCTTTTGCATGACGTCACCCGCACGTCCATTTCGTCTTTAGCGTGGAAGGATGTGGGGCTATATAGTTGCGTGGGTCCGCAACCGCCGGCGTGCACCGACATGCCGCACAAGCCAGGCATCATGGCAGAAGACCGCCGAGTGGCACTTCCCTCAATCTTCGGAAGATAATTATCTCCATTCTTGCCACATGGATACGAAGGATATGTTTTTTTCCAACCAATATGACTATAATGTTGAGTATCAATAAAAATGGTCACCAGGTAAAGGTGGTATGGTCTCGTCTGTGGCGTATATGTTTTGTCAGGGGAATACACTAGAACTCAGGAAATTGGGGTTGGCACAAGA